TATTAACTCTTTATTAACAAATAAAAATATTTTTCAATATAAAGAACATGATATTGTTAATAAGGTCAAGCAAATTTTTATTAAGGCAAAACATATGGCAACTAATGGGGTAATAAAAAAAAAATAGTAAATATATGAAAACACAAATTTTCAAATAAAACATATATATGAACAGAAGTATTTACATATATACATATATATATATATATATTTACATATACATTTCAATAATCAATTTATTATCTTTTATAGGATCTACGGAATAGATGGAAATCTCGAGAAGATGTCAAGAAAATGCTTTTATTGTAAATACTTACAAGGGTGCAATTGTGATTATATAATGCTAAATAATTAATCACACACATAATACATACATATATATATATATATATATTTATTTATTTATTTATATATTTTTAAATTTTGATACATTTTATTTTTAATATTAAACTCAAAAACTATTTAAGATTTATAATTATAAATAATCGTATTAGTTTCTTTTTTTTTTTTTTTTTCCTGCATGTGTTCTTTTATTAAAAATGAAAATATACATATATATATATATATTTAAATTATGTGCAAACTATTGTTTAGCACATTACTATATAGGTAAATTAAAAAAAAAAAAAAAAAAAAAAAAAAAATATATATACATATATATGATAACATTTTATCATATTTTACATTATATTATTTTTGCTTTAAGATTTTTGGGCTTCTTCTTTTTGTTTTCTTAATCTAATAATGGTTGATTTAGCAGCAACAGCAGCTGGGGTGGTTAAACTCCAAGCACCTCCGCAAACTTTTCTTTTGCATTTTTTACATTTCCATATTCCTACACAAGTTCTTTTTGTAGCAGTCTAAATGAAAAAAAAAAAAAAAAAAAAAAAAAGGGAAATAAATAAATAAATAAATATATATATATATATATATATATATATATATGTATATATTTCCATACATGTTACATTTATTAAATATTTCCTTTATATATATATATTTTATTACCTTTCCGCAGAAGGTACATAAATATTTGGCATGTTGCATTAATTCAATTTTTTTTATCTGTTTACGTAATGATGATCCGTACCTTGTCCCATATTTTCCCGTTAAACCGACCTAATAAAAAAGAAAAAAATATACAAACATATAATACATATATGGGTACATATATATATATATATATATATATATATATATATATAAATATATTTAATAAAATCGCAAAATATATATTTCTTCATCTATATACATTTTTTTCATTTTTAATATACATTTTTTCATTTTTAATATACATTTTTTCATTTTTGATATACATTTTTTCATTTATAATATACATTTTTTCATTTATAATATACATTTTTTCATTTATAATATACATTTTTTCATTTATAATATATATTTTTTCACTTATATATTTTTTTCCTTTGGTACCTTTTTAGTTCTTCTTGACATTTTGCTTTATTTCTTGTTTTATATTTTTCAAATAATTTGTATTATAAAAAATTATTTTATTTTATTTTATTTTTTTTTTTTTTTATATATTCTTAATTACTTTTATCAAAAATGTTCTTTCACTAAATATTATAAAATAACAATAAAAATATAAAAAATAAAATATAAATAATAAAAATTATATTTTATTATAATTTAAAATTATTATCAAAAGATGAAATTTTTTTTTATAAGAGAAATAAAATAAATATATAATAAAAAAAAATATATATATATATATATAAATATTACATTATACGTTATAAATAATATATATATTAAATATATATATTAATACCCCCACAAGAATATAAATTATATATGCTATAATATAAAATATAAATATATTTGTACATATAAATAATTATATTTTCAGCTTTGTATTATAAAATATTATAGAATTTTTATTTTTCCCCTTTCGCAAATGAAAAAAAATAAAATTTAAATATTATATATATATATATATATATATAATATATTTTTCTTTCTATATATATATATATATATATATATATATATGTCATGGTTTATATTGAACATAAAATTATTTTTTACATATGGCCTTTATTTTTTCAAAACCACTTTCTTCTCCCTTTTTATTTTTTTTAGGTATACAAATAATATATATATTATATATATATTATATATGTATCATATAATATATTAATTAAATATTTTTTAAAATATATATACTTATATATATAAATAAAGAAAAAAGAAAAGAACTTGAAATTTTAAGAGATTAAAAAAAAAAAATATATACATAATATATATATATATATATATATATATATATATATATATATATATATAAATAATTTAGTATTACAATTATTCAATTGTATAAAAGAATTATATATATTATTTTTATCATATATTTCTTTAATTATTTTTGCTTAAAAAAAAAGAATATATATTAGTACCTTATGAAAAATGTAACAAAATTAAAATAGGTCACTGTATTATTTTCTTATTGTAAATCATTAAACTTGTTAAATTAATTATATATTTATATATATATATATATATATATATATATATATATATATATATATATATGTATATACATTTTCCTTATATCTCTCTTAAATTATAATTTTTTTTTTTTTTTTTTTTTTTTGTTACTACAATATGATATTGTTAAATAAAAATGTGTAAAAGAAGAAAAAAAACAAACATAATATATATAATATATATATTATATATTTAATTAATCATCCAAAAAAAAAATGTTTTTTTTTTTTTTTTTTTTAAAAAAAAAGGTTACTTAAAAAAAAAAAAAATAAAATAAAAAAAATATGTAAATAAAATAAAACATTTTTGAAAGGTTACGCAAATAAATAAATATAATATATATATATATTATATGATAATATTTATATCTATGTCCTCTATGAAAATTTTAAAATGGGCACAAGGGGGGTTTTGTTACAGAAAAATAAATACAGGTTATACAAATATGTTAATATATATATATATATATATATACATATATATTATATCGTTCTGTATACACTTGTTTATAACATGGTGTTAGGTGGTATACATAGTCTTGGGTCTTATTCAATTGTACAATATATATGATGGAAAAAAAAAAAGAAATAAAAGAAATAACAATTATATATTACACAAATGTATATATAAATATATATATATATATATATATATATATTTAACAAAATGATAATGTTCAATATGTTAATTTTCTTCCCAAGTATGTTCCAAATAAAGTTGTAATTTGGTTCTGTTATATTATATTATGTTCTATTTATTTTTATTTTTTTTATTTTTTTTTTATTTTTTCTTGCTTATCTTTGTTTCTCTCAATAACTTTTCATGTTATCCATTCTTATTATCTATTCGTTTTCTTTTTATTTATCTTTCATATTTTCGAATGTTAATAAGATCCAACAAAAATATTATTTATAGGAATAAATACAAGCTTTATTATATATCCAATAAATCCCATAATCAAAAAACCAAAAGAGCAAGCATACACTATGTTTGTATATTCTTTTTTATTAGGCTTAGTACATTTCCTTATTAACCTTACGCTATCCTCAACAAAAGTTTGTATACCATTAACACAATAACCTACTGGGTGATTTTCATCAGTTAAAAATTCTGGAATTTTAACATTCATCTTTATAAAAACAAAAAAAAAAAGAAAAAAAAACAAGAAGAAAAAAAAGAAGATATAATATATATATATATATATAATTCTTTATTAATAAAAATTAATAAAATAAAAAATATTTATTATATATTTTATATATTTGAATATTTAAAAAATGCCCTTCCATTAATATGTATATAATAATAATAAAATATTTATTTTAAACATTCCCTTTTTACACTTAATTCTGTATTTTCTTCAGCACAAAGAGAAAATTTTATTTACTAAATAAGTTAATATGAAAAAGTCATAAAAAAAAATATGTATATTAATATATATATATATATGTATAATATTTTATCTTTTTATTTATTCATTTTATTATGTATATTTTTATTAAAGCTTCAAAACTTACCCTTAATTGATTACAAATTATTTTTATTATTTTTTTAATTTTTTTTACTTCTGTTTTTTTTTTTTTTTTTTTTTTTTTTTTTTTGTTTACTTTATCTGTTCAAATGGTAAAATATGAAAATTTAATTTTAACCGATTGGGGGAAAAAAAAAATAAAAAAAAAATTATATGTATATAAAAAAATAAAAAATTATATAATATTATATATATATATATATATATATATATATTTATATATACATGTAATATATGCGTTGTATTTTATTATATTTTATATAGTTATATACACTTTTTGTAATATATTTATTATTAATGTATATATTTTATATATATACATATGAACATTATCTTAGTATAAACAATGTATACATATATATATATATATAATATATCTATAATAAGGTTTATAAATATGTATATATTAAATATGCTAAACAAATATATATATAAAAATAAATACATATTATTATATATATTATATATATTTTATTTTTGTATATTTTAAAAATATACACATAATTTTAAAATCTAAATATTTAATATTTTAACAAATATTTTTACTTTATTATACATATAATATATATATAAATTATATATATGTATTATATATAATACACATAAGAAAAAAAGAAAATGTGAAAATTAATAAATATATATGATATATCACATATATTTATATTTACGATAAAGTTAATTAAAACATAAAGTTTATAAATATATATATATATATATATAATATTATGAAAATTATAATTTTATTTTATATGATATAATTCAAACAAACATAAATATCTTAATTTGGTTGTTCATTTTTTTTTTTTTTTTTTTTTTATAAGGGATATTTATAAAATATATATGTTATATAACAAAACGTGTGAGTATTTATGTTTTTTTTTTTTTTTTTTTTTTTTTATTTAAAAAAAGAATTATAATAAGGCATAATATTCATATGGTCTATTTTGTGGAACTCATACTATTATCCCTTATATAAGAATTAATTTCTTTTATATATAAATTAATAAAATATATCATAAAATATATTTAATATATTATAACTTTTAATGCTGTGTATAAAGCTCCTTATTTTATATAAAGATTATAGTGTGTCATAATGTGAGGATTTTTTCTTTTTCTTTTTCTTTTTCCTATCATTAAATAATAACGACCATGTGTTATTAAAAGTAAAACATATAAATCTTTACATATTTGTTTGTGTATTTATATATCATTTTACGTATTATGACATGTTTTTATTATAAACCACCTTATAATTAAAAACCTTGACTAAACATAATAGTATACAAATGAATGTTCACATAAATATATACAAATTTTTTTATTTAAGACACATGTATATATATATATATGTAATATTCTTCATTTGTAGATATGAAAAATGTGTTTATTCCCTTGTATATCTTATTTGTTATCCTTTAAGTTATACTAAGAAAGATAAAATATTTTATTATTTTTTTACATATATGTATGTATATTGTGTGGGAAAATAAGGAATAAATATAAAAACAAACAAAGTATTTACAAAATTATAAGTATTCAAAGAACATATTTTATTTTACATATCTATATCTATCTATAAATATATACATATATATATATATATATATATATATATATATATATATATATTTCTTTTCGTAATCCCCGGTTGCATATTTTCCTTATATAAAATCTTTTTTCATTTATATGTTGTTTAATTATTTCAAAAAAAAAAAAAAATTACTTTAATCCCACTTTTTTAAAATATTAACATGAATATATTTAAAGAAAGGACCATACATTTATATATATATATATATATATATATATATATATATATATATATTGCAAACATAATAAGCATGTATAACTTATAAAATAAAAAATATTTCTGATAAAAATAAAAAAGGGGACATCAGCTGCAATATGATATAATGCGAAAAAAAAAAAATATATATGAGAAATAAAAAACAGGATAAAATATTATAAGATAATATTTACCTACATGTTTTATATTTACATAATTTTTACAAAAAATAAAATATAATAAAATAATAAGATAACCATCGTTTTTTTATAAAATATAATATTTCATAAAATAAATACAAAAATTTTATTATATAATGATGTACAATAAAAAATATGTTCATATATAAAATATATAACATATAATATATAATATATATATATATATAGTAACACCTACTACTATTTATTATTTATCCTTCTTGTAAGTAATATGCCTAAATTAAATATATATATAATATATATATATTTTATGTACTTATAAATATTGTTATATATTTACTGAAGTAATTATAATAATATATAATATTGCTTAAAAAAATAAGGTTTTCAATCACCGTATTACAAAAAAATATATTATAAACCATATTTATGTATATAAAACTTATTTATTAGTAAAATATGTTATTACTTCATTTTTTAAAATATATTATATTATAAATATATTAAAATATTATAATAAAAAATAATATGTAGCATAAATATAATATATATATTTATTTATATACGTATATAAAAAATATCAGATAGAGAAAACAAAAAAAAAAAATATATATATATATATAATATATATATATATATATATATATATATATATATAATAATATTATTATATAAATCTCTGTGGCTTTTTTTTTTTTTTTTTTTTTTTTTTTCCTTTTTAAATTTAATGAAAAAGGAAAGTTTTATATTTTTTTTTAATATAGAAAATAGGATATATAAATAAACCCCTCCTTTTTTTTTTTTTTTTAATAAATTATATTATATATATATATATTATATATGTATTATAATATAACATATATATTTTAATATATTCCTTTTTAACAATAATTATTTTAAATTTCTATCATTAATCTTGATATATATATATATATATATATATATATATATATATATAGCCGTTATTTTTATTATAAATATATACATATATATATATATAATATATTATTATTTATATATTTTTTTTCATTTGAAAAATTTCTAAGAAAAGAAAAAAAAAAAAAAAAAAAGATGGCGTCAATGGACCATAATGCTCAAGATGAACTAGTAGATTATGAAGATGATGAAAATATATTAGATAGCAAAGATGTTAAAGGGAATTTAGGAAATAATATTTTAAATAATAATAATAAGGGTGGAGCTATGAGAGGTAGTTATGCAACTGTGCATACAGGAGGATTTAAAGATTTTTTTTTAAAACCTGAATTATTGAGAGCAATAAGTGAAAGTGGTTTTGAGCATCCGTCAGAGGTACAACAAGAAACTATTCCCGCAGCAATTACAGGTAAATATATAAAATGTGGATATGCAATATATTTATATGTACAATATATTTATATATACAATATATTTATATATACAATATATTTATATGTACAATATATTTATATGTACAATATATTTATATGTACAATATATTTATATGTACAATATATTTATATATACAATATATTTATATGTACATTATATTTATATGTACATTATATTTATATGTACATTATATTTATATATACAATATATTTATATGTACATTATATTTATATATATGATTAATTTTGATATGCACCCATTTATATTAGCATATTTAGACGAAGAATGTACCTTTTATTGAATATATGATGATCATTAAATTTTGTGTATATATTAAGGAATTATATATTTATAAGATATAATTGATTTGTACATTTTTTATTATGACAAATCATTTGCGTAATTTTATACAACCTCTACATATATATATATATATATATATATATATATATATATATATATGTATATATATATTTATTTATATTTATATTTATTTATATTTTTTATATTTTTTATATTTATATTTTATCCCTTTAGGAACTGATATCCTTTGTCAGGCCAAAAGTGGTATGGGTAAAACAGCCGTTTTTGTGTTATCCATTTTACAACAGCTAGATACGAATGAAAACCAAGATATGCAAGACACGAAAGAAATGAATAATGAAAACAATAATAACGGAGACAATAAGTTTGTTAGGTGTCTTGGTTTAGCACATACTCGAGAGTTGGCATATCAAATAAAGAATGAATTTGATAGGTTTAGTAAATATTTAAAAAATGTAAGATGTGAAGTTGTATATGGAGGTATATCAATGAATAAGCATATAAAATTATTTAAAGAAGATAATATTCCACATATAATTATAGGAACACCAGGAAGAATATTAGCATTGATAAGAGAGAAGTATTTAATTACAGATAAAATTCAACATTTTGTATTAGATGAATGTGATAAATGTTTAGAAAAATTAGATATGAGAAGTGATGTTCAGAAAATTTTTATATCAACACCTTTAAAAAAACAAGTTATGTTCTTTTCAGCAACCATGGCTAAAGAAATGAGAGATGTGTGTAAAAAGTTTTTACAAAATCCTGTGGAAATTTTTATTGATGATGAAGCAAAATTAAAATTACACGGATTATTACAACATTATGTTAAATTACAAGAAAAGGATAAAACAAGAAAACTTATAGAAATCTTAGATGCTTTAGAATTCAACCAAGTTATCATCTTTGTTAAATCAGTTACAAGAGCTATCACACTGGATAAATTATTAACAGAATGTAATTTCCCATCAATAGCTATACATGGAGGTCTTGAACAACAAGAAAGAATTGAAAGATATGATAAATTTAAAAAATTCGAAAATAGAATCTTAGTATCAACTGATTTATTCGGAAGAGGTATTGATATTGAAAGAGTTAACATTGTAATCAATTATGATATGCCAGAAAATTCAGACTCTTATTTACATAGAGTAGGACGTGCAGGAAGATTTGGTACCAAAGGTCTAGCCGTTACTTTTGTTTCTTCGCAAGAAGATACTTTGGCATTGAATGAAGTCCAAACAAGATTTGAAGTTGCCATTTCAGAAATGCCAAATAAAATTGATTGTAATGAGTACATCAATCAATAAAAAAAAAATAAAAAATAAAAAATAAAAAATAAAAACAGTAAATATATATATATGTATAGCTAGCTATCATGGACATATATTTATATGAACAACTAGCCAAAAAAAAAAAAAAATTAAATAAAAAAAATATATATATATATATATATATATGTCGATATTTTTTTTAAATATAAAAATAAATATATCCATAAAAAAGAAAAAATTTCTATATGAATTGATAGAAAAAAATAATGTACACACATATGTGTTTATATATATATATATATGTATGTATATTTTCATTCCATGATATATATATATATATATAATACCTTTTATTGTACCACTTTATAATAATATGCTATTTTATGTTTATAGTTTTATATTTTTTATATTTAAAAAAAAAAAAAAAAGAAGAAGAAGATTTATATTTAAATATATTTAATAAATGTATTTATAAAACAAATTTTTCCTAGCAAACTTATATATGAACAATTTGAATTTATAAAAATTCATAACATGCAAAAACTTTTATTTAAAAATTGCTTGTAATTTTTAAAAATGCATAAGAAAAAAAAAAAAAAAAAAAATACATACATACATATATATATATATATGTAATAAATATGTATATGTGGTGAATCCATTTGCTTCCATATGAAAAATGAATGAAATATTAATCGTGATTTTTCAATGTAATATTATATATTTAAAACTTATAATATATATATATATATATATATTTAAAATAAAAAAATATATAAGGACACTAATTTAATGTTACGGGGAAACACTTTTCAATACATGTTCTTATCAGGGTACATTATATAGATAAATTATATGTTGCATATGTTATTTTATTTATTTTTTTTTTATATTTCTAATTTATTAATGAAAGAAAACTATGACTATGTAACGGTACTACATTTATAATATATATATATATATATATATATATATATATATATATAATATAATAGTTGTCTATAAATCAACCTTTTATTTTTACATAAGATATACAAAACATTAATCTACACAAATCATGCTACATAATATATATAAATATATTTCATTAAGACATTCCTGTATATATTTAGATGCCTCTTCAATATTCATATTGATTTAAAAAAAAAAGGTCATTTTTTTTAAAATTGAAAATATTTTTCGTTCTACAGTAAAATATATATATATATATATATATTATTATCTGTTATATAAAAAGACGCAATATTTATATTATATATATATATATATATATATATTTATTTATTTATATTATTTTTTATAATATAATGACGCTTATTTCCATGTTTTAATATTGCATTACACTTTACTACTTATTTTAAAAATATAGCTTTTCTTACTTTTTTTTTTTTTTTTGTAGAGTTAAAAAAGTATGTATATTTTTTCTTCCCCTATATAAATATATATATATATATAATATATATATATAATATATATATGTATATATAATTATTTAAAAAGAAGATTGATTTATCTATATTTATATATATATATAT